AGATGGTTGATGATGAACGATTACGAAATGTTAAGAATGTTCAGCAAGTATGATTAAAGAATCAAAAATTTCAAATTTTCCGCTAAAATTAATCTATGTAAAGTAAGAATGACGTAAGCAGGCTTGTCTGCGACCTCTGAGAGGTCAACGACGCCGGTCTCGTCTGGGGTCTAGATTCCGGTCGTGACAAGTTCATTGTGGCAAAAATTCTGGACTATAAGATGATAGACAGTAAGACCGTCGTCACCCAAGTTCAAGAATAGCAGGTTATAATCCATGATTTCCTTGCTGTAAATTTATTTAATGCCTATGTTAGAAATATTAAGTTTTTCCTTAATATTCACATAATCTTTAATGTAGGATTGATTGTGAATGATGTCTTTCAAGTGACTGCAATTATTGAAAAGTTACCTCCATTGTGAAAGGACTTCAAAAACTACTTGAAACATAAATGCAAGGAGATTATTGTTGAAGATCTCATAATAAATCGAAGAGGATAATAAGGCTGCAGAAAAGAGGTCACGTGGTAACTCAACAATATCTGGAGTAAATATTGTTGAAAAAGATCCCACAAAAGTAAAGAAAAGAAAGAAAACATCTAACCCAAAAAGAAATCCTCCTAAGAAGAAATTCAATGGAATCTGCTTCAATTGTGGTAAACATGGTCATAGGGCTGCTGAATGTCGGGGTCCTAAGAAGGACAAGAAAAAGAAGGATCAAACAACCTTGGCTGAATCCAAAAGAGAAATGAACGATCTCTGTGCAATGCTTTCAAAATGTAACTTGGTTGGAATACAAGAGAATGGTGGATAGATTCTGGTGCTTCATTCCATGTTTGTGCGAGCAAAAATATTTTTTCGGCATATACTCCAGCACCTACAGATGAGAAGTTGTTTATGGCAAACTCCGCTGTTGCAAAGGTGGAAGGAACTGGAAAGGTTCTATTAAAGATGACATCAGGCAAGCTGGTGACTTTAATAGGATCTCGTATGTTCTAGAATTGAGAAAGAATTTAGTTTCAATTCCTGTTCTGACTAAGAATGAATTCAAATGTGTATTTGTTTCTAATAAAGTAGTAGTAAGTAAGAATGATATGTACGTAGGAAAAGGCTACCTTAGTGATGACCTTTTCAAACTCAATATAATTGCAGTTGATATGAATAAATATTTTGCTTCTTTTTATTTGCTTGAGTCTAAATGTTTATGGCATGAACGTTTGGGACACGTTAATAACAAAACCTTGCTAAAACTGATTAACTTAAATATTTTGCCAAATTTTGAGTGTAATAAATCAAAATATCAAATTTGTGTTGAATAAAAGTATGCTAAGCATTCTTATAAATATGTTGAAAGGAATTCAAATACTTTAGAATTGATTCAAACTGATATTTGTGACATTAAGTCAACATCATCACGTGGTGGGAAAAATTATTTCATAACTTTTATTGATGATTGCACTAGATATTGTTATGTCTATTTGCTAAATGGTAAGGATGATGCAATAGATGCATTAGGCAATATAAAACTGGAGTTGAGAAATCATCGACTGGAATGAAACTATAGCCGAGAACAAGTCATCGTGGCGGTAACTCTATATAAAAGACTGGAGATCCCAAGTTCTAAGTTAAAGGAGATAAAACAAAGTCATTGATGACGGTTCAACATTGTCAAAAATTATTTTATGGTCCATTCTCATGATAAGACAAGTGTTCAGTAACCAGGATAAAGGCATATGGACTTTTTAATGGTTTCTAAGTTTGATACAGGGTTTAAACAATGATAAGTTTAAAGGGAAACCTACTTATCCAGATGCGATTAACCTTTACTTACAAGACACACAAGTTTTTCATGCATATGTTTTAACAATAGTCATTCCCCATTCATGTGGGGGATTGTTGGGTTTAGAAAATGTGAATGAGAAAAGAAAAGAGAGAATATGAAAAGTGAGGGAACTATTTTAGAGGAAAATGAAAAGTCATTTGCAAAGTGCAAATGAAAATTCATTTCTCCCATATCGACAAAAGAAAAGGGAAATTGTTCTCCTTATGTAAGGAAACACTTCCTTTACTTCTTAAAGAGCTAAGAAGAAGGTGCCCTCTCGCGCCGTCGTCGCTCGCTCGACTTTGGCTTTGGCTTTGACAAACGATGTGATTGATTGATAAAATTTTTGTACAAAATTTATTTAATCAATTTTTGTTAATCAAATAATCCTGTTAATATTATCTCTTATAAATTAATTCAGAACGTTAGTTAATTAACAGAATTAATTCGCGGGTAATGGTAACATTCCAAAAAATTGTTACTCTTTTCGAAAAGTTGTTACTTTCCAAAAAACCGTTATTTTCCTATCAGACACATTTTTCTGAAAAGTTGTTATTTTTTTCAAAAGAGATAACATTCTGGATAAAACGGGTCTGAACAAATTTTTTTGAACAGACACGATTCTTCCTGAATATGTCTATAAAAGGAAGTCATCTTTTGTTTTTTTCAAACACAGAAATTTTTCTTCTCTGCATATATTTTTCTCTAAGAATCAAAGTGTTGATCGACTGAGTTTGTGTGACTTGTTGTTGTTTATAAGTTCGCTGAAGTTAAAGAAGTTTGAGGTATTGTTATTTCTTTAACAAGATTAATTCATTTTATCTTGGAGAAATTAATCCATAACCTCGGGTACAGTGAGGAGATTAAATTTCTTAAGGAGACAACATAGTAATTTTTATGGACTCAGATTATTTTGTATTTTTTCTATTTCATCTTATTTCTGTTTCTGTTTATTGGCTAACCTTATAAATACAGGTTGATAACAAATACTTCTGCATTATGTAATTCTCCTACAATCTATGTTATTGGATAAGATAATTGAATAATTCATGTAATTAGTTTTTTCTCATAATTAAATCTACGAAAAATAGCTTGCATCATATTTAATGCGTTTTTTTTAGAATTTATAAATGGTTTACTACTTGTATGAATATAAAATCATGGTGTGATTTCAAGTTTGTAAATAAATATCCCTAATAACGAAAGAAGAGGAAGCGTTGAAAAAGAAATAATGTATTGCTAAATATTATTGTATTATGCAACTTTGTGTTTTTATTGGTTAAATTTAGAACTTATTATTAATAATTTTTATATTTTTTTTTAAAATGTGTATTGATTGATATAGGGGCGAGCACAAAAACTATTATTTATTATTATAAGTGAAAGATCTTAACTTTAAAGTTAGATTACAATTTTACCCCTTAAATTTAAATATTATTAAAAAAACTAATTAATAAAATATTAAATAATACTTGTATGGTATAATATATTATGTTTCTAAGTAGAATTAATTAAACAGAATATTTAATTTGTTTTTTTATCCTAAAATGGAGTTTTATAGATGAAATGTTTCGTAACAACAAAAGACAGTAAATTATATCATTTAAAAACTGAAATATCCTTAACATTAAAGAACGAAAATGTCTTTTGAATTACCATACATCTTAATATGACACACATATTTAGATTTTAGTAAGAAACTTTACTTATCTCAACTTTAACCAATCTAATTCTCATAAATGTTATGTATATCATCAAGTTTTTAATGACTTTTAATTCCAAACTTGTAATTATACATACCAAAGAATTATTTCCAAAATCACTTTGTATTAATGCATACACTTAGTTATTCCGACGTTTGATTATTGGTGGATGTAATTACATTGATACATTGCTTAGCACAATCACTTTTTATTAATGCATACACTTTGTTATTCTAAAGTATAATTGTTGATGGATATCGTTGATGGATGTAATTATTCATCACATACGCAATAAAAAAGAGATAGAACTATTTATGTTTTTGTTAGTTATTGAGGAAGTTCCTCTAGTCTTACAAACTATAACTATTTCTTTTTTAATTTTTGTTATTTAAAAGTTTTAGAATTTATTAGCTATTTTATTATTTTTAGTGTACTTTATTTCATTTTATTTTAGAATTCATTAGCTATTTTGATGTTACAGTCCTTCTCTTTGATTACTTAATTTTATGAATATATATATATATATATATATATATATATATTGTAACTGTATTTAAATAATTTATAAATATTTATACTAAATAGCGTGCAATACAAGTATATTTTATATTATGATTTTTTTTAAATTAACAAAAGACAAACAAGCAACACACGTTTTCAAAGACTAGTGTTATTTATAAGTCTCAAGTAACTTGAAAAGTCAAGTTTACTAGTGCATATGAACATTGACATGCATCGAATACTAGTGCATATGGACATTAATATCCACCATCTTAATATTTCATGACTAAAACTCCTCTGTTTCAAATTGAATGATCCATTTTGAATGTGGAGTTTAAATAAATAAAAAGAATTTTTAAATCTTGTTTTCTAAAATAAAAGATCTGTTAAATGTATCAAAATGTCTTTTAATCTTGTATCTTAAACATGTCATTGTGAAAATTGAAATAAAAAGTTACTAAAAAGAAAAGGGATAATGCACAAGTATCCATTCGACCTATGCCCGAAATTTTAGAGACACTAATACTATACTAAGATCTTATTACCCCTGAACTTATTTTATAAATATTTTTCTCCCCCTTTTCGGCCTACGTGACACCATCTTGTGGGCCCAATATGTGTTGACATTTTCTTCAAACTAGTGCCACGTATACCAAAAAGGGATAGAAAATTATTTATAAAATAATTTGAGGGGTAATAGGACCTTAGTATAGTATAAATGTGTCTATGAAATTCCAGGCATAGGTTGAAGGAGTACTTGTGCATTTTTCCTAAATAAAAGAATCACTCTTTTTTAAATGGACTAAAAAGAAAGTAGATCAAACAAATTGATACGAGAGAATTATATTACATAGGAAAGAACTTTCATTTAATCATCTTCTTAATGCATACTTCCGAATTATATCATATGCTAATTTAATTAGCTGAGCTTCACATATTATCAACGAAGACACTATAAGTACTTCATACTAATCATTACCGCTCTAACCAACAAATTGTCATTTAAGAATTAATGATATGTTTGAGAGGCAATTGTATTATTTCCTGAGATCTTAACCATTTGTACAAAATGTTTCAAGTTCCTGGTGCAAGAGAATCAAAGGTCCAGAGAGCTAGGAGTTAAAGAAATTTGTCTTCATCTTAGGCGACATGTTTCTCCTCCTACGTCGATTGCAGAAGTTCATACCAACATCACTTATATGATCTGCATAAATCATACCAAGTACTTGAACAAGTTTGGATTATCTTTGTCCCTTTCTAGGTAATCCTTAGTTATCAAATTCTCGATTCTCTTCTAGATAGCTTTGACATCAGGCTATGGAGTATCCAAAACAAAGTACTTAGCTCAGTTGAACTTGAATAACTAACAATAAAATTGAGAAGTAGAAGTTTATCCCCCTGAGGATACCTTGAACATCCGTTATGACTCTTCATAATATACACAATTGAAGTATCTATAGCATATCACCTTTCCTTGTCAACATCTTCAATTACCTTTTTCTTCTCATCAACAGGAGGGAGAGGTATCTGTATATCCTCACAGGGTCAGTAATGTAGTGCAACAACTATAATAGAAAGGCTAAACTTACTCATCTAAAATTGTACCTTGATCATCCTTATTTTGTCAGTGAACTTTGAGTTGAACTCAAAGACGTCAGTCAGAGAAATTGTTTTGGTGATTGGTTTCTTGTTGAGAATCTTGTACTTCGCACATGAAAGGCAATGAAGAAGTCAAACAACATCATCAACTGATAGGTTTAATTGTGTCATGATTTCCTAATAACTCAGTCTATCTGATGCATTAAAGAGAAGCATAGCAGAAGCCTACAAAAAGGAAGAAGCCTTAATCTCGTTTTCTTATTGATAACGTAATAGAAATGTTTCAAATTAACTAAGCCTATCTGATTTCAAAAAGTAAGCCAACAATCAACTTGATAGGTAGTGACAACGAGCTCAATAGTCTTTGGCTCAAATTATCCATTTATGTGCAAGTTCCCAAAGAGTACATCCATGTAAGTTTCCTGGGCTTCGTTTTTGTTTGATAAAACATCTTGAATACTTCAACACATCTAACCTGACAATCCGCAGCATAAAATGAATCCATGACACGATGTTTGAGAAGAAAAATGATTGAAGTAAAGAAACATGCATCATTCTTTGCCCAAAGAGAACTTCAGCAGGAGGAACAAGGATCAAAACCAAGATAGAATTTACTGCATAATGCCAATTCACATATTGATATGATATACCATTTCTGCTGGGAGGTTGAGATCAAAAGACTTGCAGCTGGGCAAGAAGTCAAGACAGTAACCGTCTAGCCAATTCTTGGATTTGCTATTGGATTATTGCTCAAATACTCCTCAAAGCTGGCTTGATTTTCCGTTGCCAATGTCAAATCTATGACCTACGTACAGGAAGAGAAGAAGAATGTCATCAGAGAACACTGATCTGGATAGCTTACCATTCCCTCCATCTTTGATGCCCCCCAAACTGCTGCTTCAACTTTGTTAGGATACTTCTCTCATGTTCATCATTGGCACTCTTATCATATAGCAACCGCCGGGCTAGCTTTTCCCTGAAAAAAAAGGAAGTCATACACTTATAACATAACAGAGAAGAAGTTACTATTCAAGTAGTAGATGAGATAACAAGTCCTTATCACTAATATAAGCTTACAGCTTTACCACCTGCAAGTGAGATCTAATATCAGTTTTCTCCTTCTCCAGTATTAGCAATTTACTTTTACCCTAATGCACAGAGTAGGACAATTAGATTAGACAACTATCCCTTGCTCCAACACATACCTTGTGAAAAATGTGCAGTTTTGGAAACAGTTATTCACATATGCCAAATATTTATCATGAAGCTCAATCACTTTATGTTTTGAGAAACGGTTTTGAGGATTTCCTTTGCGTACTTTTTCTGGCAAACGGAGAACTCAACCTTTCCTTGTGTAATCTCCATTCCAAGGAAACATGTCATAAGACCAAGATCAGAAATTTCAAAAGCTTGCATTATATATTGCTTGAACTCATCAATTATCTTTTCACTGCTCCGTGTAATCAAAAGGTCATCCTCATATAGAGAAACAACAAGTATCTCACTGCTATTATATTTAACATACCGTGTGAATTCTGAAAGACTCTTTTCAAAATCGCGGCCGAGCAAATAATCATCTATTCGACTATACCAAGCTCTTGGTGCCTGTTTTAAGCCATAAAGAGCTTTATGTATTCGGTAGAATTTATCTTCCTTTCCATCTATAAAGACCCTTGAGGTTGCTCGACATAAATTTCTTCTTCAAGAATGCCATTAAGAAATGTTGATTTGACATCCACCTGACGCACTTTCCAACGACGTTGTGCAAAAATAGTTATAAGCAATCTGATCATGTCTGCGCATAACCCTTAACTACAAGCCTTGCTTTATGCTTGTTGATTGAACCATAAACATTTAGCTTGGTTCGGAACACCCGCTTTACCCCAAGTACTTTTCTGCCTTGAGGTTTGTCAACAAGCTGTCACTTACCAATTTTTTCGATCATAAACAGCTCCTTCTCCATTGTGTTTTTCCACTTGGGGTCTTTGAGAGCATCTTTAGGGTTAGCAGGTTCAAGAATCACATCATTGCATCTCTCATATATATATCAGAGAGCAATTGAGTTCCCCTGATTGGTGGACCATCGTTCCTTTCATTTAACCACGAGCTTGTTTTGTAGACGGAATTACTTGAATCATCCCAATCCCATTCTGCATTTGCCATGAAGTGGATCACTGCTGATAACTATCTTCTCACCTTCAAGTTGAAAGATTTGTACGCCTTTGAAACATTACTATACCCGATAAAAATGTCCGGGGCAGCCTTCTTGGCTAGTTCATCCCGTTTGACCTGAGGAGCATAGGTAAAACAAAGACAACCAAGCACTTTAAGAAAATGCAGTGGAGGCTTGTATCCCTATCATGCTTCAAAAGGAGTTTTATCTTTCACAGTTTTTGAGGGAAGTTGATTTTGTAGAAACACAGCTGTATTTGCTGCCTCTGTCCAGAACATCCTTGGCAAATTCTTTTCGTGCAACATACATCTTGCCAGATCCATGATAAATTTGTTTCTTTTCTTTACTAACTCAATTTTGTTCTGGAGTATCAGCAGTAAGCTGATGTTCAATCCATGCTTCCTCACAAAATAGACCAAGCTGATGAAAAATGTACTCCATGCCATTGTCAGATCGTAAAATCTGAATTTTGCGGCAGCTTTCAGAATATTATTGCTCAATTAAATGTTAAAAAGAAATGGTAGTGAAACCTCAAAGAAAGAGATATAACAGCATCCCTAACGTTTCCATTCAACTCTTGGCAGACCTGAAACAGAAAACAGTTGCCAGTATGATTTTACCTCTGTCTCAATTTATGTGATATTCTTTCTTTTTTAGTCAGTCCCCCCAAAAGGGACATCTTTCCATATTTAGTAACAATTTAACTACAGATTTCTTGTTTTACTTTATGCCACAAAGTTTCAATAGCATACTTTATACCACAAGTTTCAAAATTCTTTCTTTTTTCTCTTAAACTTCGTACCTTTACGTAATTGGGATGGGGGGACTAAATGATAACATCTTTTAGTAAAATGACGTTGCAGCAGTTGTATGCTGTCAAACTGGAAACAACATTCTAGAAGAGGCAAAACCCTGAAAACAGAATTAAAAAAAATCAATATATAAGCCATGAGCTGAACTCAGTGCTTTAACCAAGGGATCAGTTGGAGATGTTTTACTAGATGACCATAAAACAGAACTTTGATTAGAAGAGAAAAGAGAAGGAGAACCATGAATTACCTGATCATGGAAACAAGTTAGTCCAACTTCATTAAGCCCCGACAGAGCTCTCTGGGAGATGAAATAGAGGTCAAGATACCGGAAGAGACAACTATCTGACCATGACCTTATGATTTGACCACATTTTTACCAGCTCTCGCAACATGAACTCGTCATTTTTTTTTCTCAAAGAAGGGCAATACCTATTTTGAAATTGAATTGCAGTGTGAAATTTAGAGAAGGTAGAATTAAGTAAAAAAAATTTAAGCCAAGTTTGTGTTTTTCATCATTTTAAACTCCTAAACAAAATTGCATGCCTAAAATAACATACAAAAAAATCCATGAAATTTAGATGCGTTTAGAAACTTCTTTCCACTTACTCCCTATCCTTTTCTAAATATTCTATAGGATAAAGAAGCAGCAGAGCAGCCTTTCTAAATTTGAATCTTATAATAGTGGAAATAAAACTAAAAGATAATATGCCTCTTGGGAAAGCAATGCCTGAATTACAGTAACCATTTAGATCCCAAAAAAAAATGTTATACTTGCACATGGATTCTTATAAATAAAATCATAGAGGGCACAAGATAAAATCACACAGGGCACCAAGAAAACTACCCATACTAAGCCCTCTTTGTTTGCATGACTAAAATTGAAAAATAAAATACCAACAAAGGGCTCACCAGACTAATGATTTCTGTTTCTTTATTAAAGAAATCATTTTTATAAGTTCCAAAAAATTTCAGAATAATACATAGAGAGCAAACAATCAAGAATGGTACATGGATATAACAAACAGCAATTTTTTTTAAGAATAATACTTCTTCAGTTCTTATTTTTCTTGTTTTATTGTAATGCCTTGTTTCATTTCTACCAAAGTGAAATATGAATGAAAACTGCAGCTATCCTTACCCGTTGTTGTGATATATTCTTCAAAAGCTTCACGATATTTGTCATACAGCTGTTGAGAATAATCATGTGGGGGCTTCTGAGTACACATGATGTAAATTGTCCTGCTAGTACACTTAAGGAGACAAAAGGTTAATCAAATGATCAAATCCAAGTTATCTATATGCCTAACAGTGTGGCAATCTAAAAGGATGCGTATACAGCTTCATATAGTCCTCTGACCTGAACTGAGGACTATATGAAGCTCAGGCAGCCCTTCTCGAATATTCTTCAGCTTTGTGATGTACCTTTGCACGAAGCACCATTCATGTTCCAGATCAATTGTGCTATGTTGGATCGTTGTGATTTTAATATCTTCACAATATAACAGACTGCAACCTTACACAAATTCCAAACACCTGTGGCCCTGTTCCCAAACTAAATAACATCACCAACTAATCTCAACAAAAGCTAAAAAGAAAATCAAGCAAGTTATAAGCCAATCAGAAAAACAAATCACATTAATATGAGACTCTAGTCTTGAGAATAAACAAACAAATGACAGAAAGAACGCTCTTATTAAATACCAAAATCTGATGTTGGACAATCTACAAGCTTGGCTTTATCCTTGAAATATGACCAGATTACTTGGATTCCAAGGCTTCAAAGTGTGGGCCTGTTAAGGAGCGACGCATACAAGAGTCGCAGAAGTACCTTGAGCCATTTCTGGGTCTTACAATAGAAAGCGTAGAAGAATATGACTAGAAGTCAAGAACAGGAAACAGGATTACATATTGGCGGCTTAAATTCAAGTAATACAAAGAGGAGAGAAGCTAAAGGAGCACAAGAATAAAATCCAATAATAAAGGAAAGAATCAAAGCTCACTAAATAGAAATATTCTAAATTACCACAGTTATAGATGCCTAACTGGAAAAGGTAGTGAGTTTTTTTATTGGTTCAGTGTCATCTTTGTTTCTAAAGATTCTTTACCACTCTGAATTATATATTTAGTTGGATGTATAAGACTTGAAGTATAATAAATTATCAAGCAGAAATGAGCCATTTATGTAACTAAACAAGTCCAAACTTCAAAATTTAGAAGTGCTGAGAGAAGCGTAAAGGAGAAGTACATGTCACAAAAAAAAGACGCCTTCAAGAGAGCTTCACATGAGTACAATAATGTGCAGCAGAGACTACCTACATTCAGCCGAAATAAAAACGCTAAGTTATTACCTCATCCACTATTGATATTTACTTGCCAACAAATCATCTATGTTCATGATTCATGTGAGCTTACATTTTATTCATGCTTATTACATCCAAATTCTATTTAGGGATTGATCCAGCAATTTATTGCAAGCTCTTCACGTCCTTTACCCCCGAAAAGGGGCACTTTTCAGGAAATTGTATTTATTGGACTAGTACTCACATGATAACAACATTTTGGTGGCATGAAACATGTCGGCTGGTATCATATAACACATCTCTAAGCACATTCCATACAATTGATTGATTCCTAACGATTATGACTTGGTTCCCGAAGACCCTGACCTGATACCTAGGACCTACATAAACTAGAAATACCAAAATTGCACACTTGGCCCTAAAAGATATGAACTTTTAAAATCTTTTCAGGGTTCCATTAAAAAAGAAAACCGTATACAACATTTTCCAATATACTTATATAAATTAGTAAGTAAATAAAACTGAGAATAGCGAAAGAAAATAAAAATCACAAACACTGAAAAGCTAAGTTGCTCAAATACTTCAACATTACACTATTTTACATGAATGCCGTTAGTTGCAACAATAATGAACAAAAAATTAAACTCAAAACCTACCAGTAATGAATACTAAACCTCCACTATTCCTAACTTCAAAAGGAAATAACACTTATGCTCAGAGTCAACTATAGAGAAATAAAAAACAACATAAAACTAGTCCATCAATCCACCTCTGAAGATCGCAAAATCAACCACAACAAAATAGCACAATTTCAATAGCTACTGGAAACAAAATTAATAACAGGATCAGTCTGAACCAAAGCAAGAAACAATTAATCAGAAACCACCACATCAACTATGCATCATAGGTATATACATATGAAGGAATAGTGTACATCAAATCGAAACTCGCAACTTAACCGGAAAATATACCTGTGATGTCACCAGAGAGGGAAGGAATTTGCTGAAAGGGTGATCGGAGATTCTAGACCTGATGAGGTCATAAGATGGAGCTGCCAGGAAGGTAGGAACCATTGATGACAAAAAGAGAATCGGGTGAGATGTGAATCTCTCTTTCCCCTTTTATGTAATTTCCTTTTCCTCGAAAATCCTCTTATACTTACTTCTAGGTATTTCCATTTTTGCCGGGGTAATTTCTTTGTTTTTCATTCAGAGTTGTTGCAAATGTATTCCAACTATTTTGGGGTTTCATGCATTTTTACCCCAAGTGCTTGAGTACTCTTTTCTTTTTCTTTTTTGAGAGTGTTGTCGGTGTTTTCCAGATTTTTAATATTTGAATGGTCAAAATGCTTAAAAAAATATTCTCTCGAGGAAAATGATTTTGCTAATGAATCTGTGTTATCAAAGGCGAAAAGAGCAAAAAAACTCTAAGGTCCAATGGGCTTAAAGTGCAAAACACAAATAAAGTGTGAGCTTTAATTAAAAAAAGTTCAAAGGGACAAAATATACAAATATATATGTTTAGTTTAAGACTAATAATTATAAACATGCATAACAAATATATGACCATAGAAATTGAAAAAAACATTATGATAAAAGTGAAATATCAATTGTATAGTTTCACTTCTTCCGAAGAGGCTCATTGGCAAGAAAAAGGTTGCCTTAGAACCTTAGTGACAATATAGAAGTGGACATAAAGTGAGCTGAAGCGCTCAACACATTTTGAGTCTCGCTTCAGGGCTTAACCGCGACAAAAATGGAAATAGTTAGAAGTATAAGGGGTTTTTCGAGAAATAAGGAAAAACACATAAAAGGAGAAAGAGAGATTCACATCTCACTAAATTCTCTTCTTGTCATTAATGGTTCCTTTTTCCAAGTTTATTGTCTCCTCTCACTCACTCAATCCCCCACCCCCACTACTTGAAGCATCTATAGCATACTGCCTTCAATTAACTTTTTCTTCTCATCAACCGGAGGGAGATGTATTTGCATACATTTACAGCAATATCCTTACGGGGTTAGTTATGTAGTGCAACAATTCATAGTAGAAAGGCTAACCTTACTCATCATTACGTATCTGCATACATTTACAACAATTCATTTTGCCAGTGAACTTTGAGTTGAACTAAATACATCAGTCGGTTTTGGTGGTTGGTTCTTTGTTGAGAATCTTGTACTTGGCACATAAAAGGGAATGAAGAAGCCAAACAACATCATCATCTGATAGGTTTAATTGCGCCATGATTTCTGATAAGTCAATGTATCTGATGCATTAAAAAGCAGCAGAGCAGAAGCCTACGAAAAGGAAGAAGTCTCAATATCGTTCTCATTGATAACGTAATAAAGTGTTCGAAATTAGGGATTAAGTACAAGTGAATTTTAATATTGATCAAACTATTTTCCTTTTCTTTTTTGGGCTGTCGATGAAACAATAATAAAGAATGAATATTGGTTATGCCACAAGAACATAAATATGAAATCGATATAACAAAGAGAGCAAGAAAATAACAAAATTCAAGATCTTTTCCATATGTAACGGCTTACTTAAAGGGTAAAAAAGTTACACACACTAGGCAAAAAGCTATTTTGCCACCTAAAAAGGCTATTATCACCAACACTTGTGTACTTTAACATGCCTAAGATTTGGCTCTAGGCTCGAGGATGATTTGTGTCAGATCAGAGCCATTACACACTTGACCCGGCTATGTAAACATATGGTGTTTCTCATAATTTCTGTTTCTAGCTAGTTTTGTAATTATATAAGCATATTTTGGTAACTTTATGAGTGTTATTATATCTAGCTGGTATCTTCTATCTACAAAGCCATACACAATTCAGATTCGGGTCTGAATGTCATTTCGAAGCTACAAGTTTCTCACATCTGCAAAGTTTGGGATAATGGACCTTAAACTTAAACAATTGATTCATTCAATAGAGAACTGTTGAGTAATGAGATTCCGGATCCAATAAACTTGCCCAAGGTTGAAAGAAAACCCAACAAGGACCAGCAAGGTCCAAATCGAAATCTATGAAGAACCAAGAAAGTAGGATTGTCGAGCATATACTGAAAGTAATTACCATTGTGCTGAATCCAGAGAGGTAAGCTGTTGACTAGAATATTATATTTACTCACAACCCGAACAGGTAGGCGACAAAACACGGAATAGAGAACGCGAAAGGGCCATATAAGACTGGAAGAAGTTAAGGCAATTTTACTTTTACTGAGATCTTTAGTTCTTAACCATTTGTACAAAATGATTCAAGCTCCTGATGCAAGGCAATAAAAGATCCAGGAAGGTTGGAGTTGCAGAAATCCGTCATCATCTTGGGCGGCATGTTTCTCCTCCTATGTAGATTGCAGAATCCTTTAAACATCACACATTCACCATGATTTGCAGAAATCATGCCAAGTACTTGAACAAGTTTGGTTCATCTTTGTCCCTCTCAAGGTAGTCTCTAGTTATCAAATCTTCAATTCTCTTCTTGATAGATTTGACATCAGGCTATGTGTATTCAAAACAAAGTAATTAGCTCAGCTGAACTTGATAACGAACATTAAAATTGAGAAGTAGAAGTTTATCCCTGAGGATACCTTGAACATCCGTCCCAACTGCTCAACACATTCGATAACCAGTTGCTGGTAGCCCAGTACTTTACGACTCTTCATAATACGCACAATCAAAGCATCTATGGCATACCGCCTATCCTTGTGAACGTTTTCAATTACCTTTTTCTTCTCATCAACAGGAGGGAGAGGTAACTGCATACCATTACAGCAATTTCCTCACTGGGTCAGTAATGTAGTGCAATAATTCATAGTAGAAAGGCTAACCTTACTCATCATTATTGTACCTTGATCCTCCTCATTTTGTCAGTGAACTTTGAGTTGAACTCAAAGACATCCGTCGGAGAAATTGTTTTGGTGCTTGGCTGCCTGTTGAGAATCTTGTACTTAGCACATGAAAGAGAATGAAGAAGCCCAACAACATCATCATCTGACAGGTTTAATTGTGTCATGATTTCCTGATAACTCAATCTATCTGATGCATTAAAGAGCAGCAGAGCAGAAGCCTACAAAAAGGAAGAAATCTCAATCTCGTTTTCTCATTGGTAAGGTAATAAAAATGTTTCAAACTTAACTAAGCCTATCCGATTTCAAAAAGTAGCCAACAATCAACCTGATAAGTAGTGGCAACGAGCTCAATAGACTTCGGCTCAAATTTTCCATTTATAATGCAAGTTCCCAAAGAATATATCCACGTAAGCTTCCTGTGCTTCGTTTCTGTTTGATAAAACTCCTCGAATACTTCAACACACCTAATCTGACAATGCGCAACATAAAATGAATCATTGACAAGACGTTTGAGCAGAAATATGATTCAAGCAAAAAAACATGCATCACTCTTTGCCAACGAAAAGAACTTCACCAAGAGGAACAAGGGCAAAACCAAGATAAATTCAACTGCATAATGAAATTTAACATATAATATAATATACCATTTCTGTCGGGAGGTTGAAATCAAAAGACTTGTAGCTAGGCCAGAAGCCAGTCTTCAAGACAGTCACCGTCAAGTCAATTCCTGGATTTGCTATTGGATTGTTGCTCACATACTCCTCAAAGCTTGCTTGATTTTCCCTTGCCAATATCAAATCCGTGACCTATAGGAAGAGAAGAAGAATGTCACCAGAGAATATAGCCTCAAATTCAGCATAATTGATCTGGGTAGTTTACCATTCCCTCCATCTTTGATGTGAACTGCCCCCCACAGTGCTGCTTCAACTTTGTTATGATACTTCTCTCATGTTCAACATTGGCACTCTTATTAAATAACAACCGCCGGGCTAGCTTTTTCCTGAAACAAAAAAGGAAGTCATCAACTTGTAACAGAAAAGAAGCTACTACCCAAGTAGTGGTTGAGATACAAGAGTAGAGGTAACTCTACCTATAGAATTCTGCAAACAAGTCCTTATCACTAATATAAGCTAGCAGCTTTACCACCTGCAAGTAAAATCTATTATCAGCTTTCTCCTGCTCCAGTTGTACGAAGAAAAAGCAGATGCTCTAGAGGAAAATAAGGGAAGGGGATTTATAGAGAAAGAGCTCACCTTCTCCAATGTCTCTTCTATGGCATCATCTCTCAATTTCTCACTCCCGCCTCTTTTGAGAATGTGGTCACAGAATGTGGCAAGAAGTTCAGTGCTTGAGCGACCAGCAACACCCTTGTTGCAGAAAATCTCAAAAGTTTCTTCAAAAGCCTAGAAAGTGACAGATGGGACAGATATTAGCAATTTACTTTTGCCCTTATGCATAGACCTAATGCACAGAGTAGAACAATTAAATTCGACAACTATCATTCCTTTCAACACATACCTTGTGAAAAAGTATGTGCTTTTGGAAACAACTATTCACATATGCCAAATATTTATCATGAAGCTCAATTACTTTCCGAACAGAAACCTGAAAATTCAGAAATAAGTTAACCGCCGAAAACATATTAAAGGATCAGATAACAGATTTACTAAGGGATTACCTGTTCCAGCAAACCAACCACACCTCTCTTATCTGCCTGTTGAAGAACAATAGTTGATCAGAAAGAACGCAAGACATTGAGCCATTATATTAAATGCACTCACAAAGAAATACCAGTCTCATCTTTTAGAGAATCATCCCTAAAAAGATGAAATGAATTAATTTTGACATTGTTCTAACCAGCAGAAGAAGAAAAGTTAAAATACATAAAAGAAGTAAAGGAGACAAAAAGAACTTGTTGGTTCCCTAAGCAACTGCTTATGCACTTTATTTTGGATAAGTATCAAATTTGATGGGGGGTTCTGCTTTAAAGAAACGTTTACCATCTCTTTTAAGTAGCATTCTCAACCACCAAATCATCAATGATCATTTACCGAAGGACAAATAAATTAAATGAAACAAAACAATCATTGAGATGGAAGTCCAACTTGTGACTTCATGCTTTTGATACAAAAGAGAAGATATGATGTTAACAAGAAATCTCTGAACAAAACTAATCAAAAGCGCAATATGGAAACTAAAAAAGCAGAAAAGCAATATGCTACGAACAAGGGTTGTGGTGGAGTGGTAAGTACTCCTTACTCCTTAATCGGGTCTCCGGTTCGAGTTCCCTTGGTTATGGAGACGCATTAATTACCAGCGCTTTACCCCTGTGTGAGACATCCTAGCTGAATTCGGTTACTCGAGCCCAAATGCGGGTACTGAACATCAGGTGGTAAACCGATTTTTTTTAAAAAAAAATTAGGAAAATGCTCTAATCGGCAATAAATAGCTAGTCTCACAAACTGACAGCTCAAGATGTGATGCACAATATATTTTAGCAGTCATCTCCCCTTTTCAAGGGATTGCTGCATTTTGAGAAAGGTCCCTGAACTTATTGTCTCTAACTTTTTTCACTGAGTTTACAGTAACTTTTTACTTGATGTATTGTGAAGCAGCATGAGCTTTTTAATGAATGGATTTTCCGTTTCTCTAATATTCACATCAAGCATTTTCTAGGGACAATCCACCCACCCACCCCCACCCTAATGGTGCTGAACCTTCTTCTTCTCCATGCCTCTCAACAACTTTAACCCAGAAAACTAGTCTAGAACCATCAGGGACATAATCAAACAAGCACAGCCTCACCTGCCTATCATTTGTTATGAAATATGGATGAATTTTTCCCTCAGCATTCATCAAATAACTAATGATCAAGTTGCTAGGCCCATAATTTAATTCCCTCACCATGTCGTCATAAGTACCATTGTGACGCAGGACAACAGACACTGTCACCTTACTCAGAGGGTTCCACTTTCAACATTTTGAAGTCTCCTCCCATTCACCACTATATTCAGCAAACGACATAATAAGACAGCAATGCTCGATGCTACTGCTCACTGCTTGACGATTATTAAATACTAGAAAAAAGAAAAACCACGGGGATGGATCTCTTATAGGTTAGATAAGCTACTGGAATGGTGAAATGTTACAACAAAATGTCACTGCAAAAACGACTGGAAAGAGGCTGCTGGAAAAACGAGCTCTTCTATAATGGATGAAATATTTCGAGCTTCTACAACAATGTAGAACTACAAAGGCTGATCTTGGAGAGGTTTTTGTCATGTGGAGTAATTTTCCAGTTAAAAGCTTCAATTTTTGACCAGAAAACGATCTGGACGACAGAAAATCCGCAAGGAGCTATTATGTATTTTTAAAGATTTTGTGAGTTTTTTGGAGGGAAAGAAACGGATTTTGTGAGAAAAGGGTAGATTGTACAAACCTTTTTATTCCTAGCAGCATCTTCAGCCTGTTTCACCAAAGCTGTCCATTCAGCAGTAACATGCTGCATTTAGATTAAAAAGAAGGATACATGAAGTAACTTATAGGCATACGATCGAGAATATGAGGTCATGAGATCACAAACCTGCTTAAAAATATTAGCCACAGGGTCTAAGCCTCGAGGGGTCTTAGAAAAGAGCCTATACATCCTTGATAAATCTTCAACCTAATAAATTAATCATGACTGTGTCAATTACTGCAAAAAAAAATAATCAAAAACATGGTCATTAAGATGCTGCTAACTACCTTATCATCTCTTAGTAACGCATGGAATCCAGAGTGCTCCTTCTCAAGAAGTTGAGTGGCATACACAGACAACAACTCATGTTGCACTTTCTGCAGAAAGGTGAGAATAGTAAAGTTGCAGAAAAAAAAAAAGATGTGAACAATAAAAACTGATAGCAACATCCTCCATTTTGAAGGCTAAAGTTCCAGTAAAGAATAAAGATTAAGAGCTGGAATGAACCTGAAGCAACTCTGTCTCACTGCTTGAATGGAGATAATGAGAGACCCTATCTTTCTCCTGTTTCAAGCACTTCTCGGCCTAAAGAAACATTGACATGATTATTTAGGTTAACATATGGAATTTAACCGGAAAAAGGGCATACAGAAGAAGCAACAAGGAAAGAATGCAGAATTAAGGGGTTGCAAACGCAGTATACTAACTTTCAGCATATAATCTGGACATGAATCTTTGATGATCCAGTTAGAAGCTTTGCGAGAATAATAAGCCGATGTGTCCTTGAGCATTGCAGCTTCAAAACTGTTCTCATAGAAATCCATTAACCCCATTCCCAATTTAACATATATATTCAGCACATTCTTAAGGAGAGCTCTGTCAATTTTCTCTCCCTCACGCTCTTGATCAATCTGGTTAGAGGAATGTTGTTGCTCAATTAAAAGGAAAAAATAGATGGTAGTGAAAACTCAAAGCAAGACAAAAGGGATACCAGAGATATAACAGCATCCCTGACTTTTCCATTCAACTCTTGGTAGACCTGAAATAGAAAACAGTTGCCAGTAAGATACCTCCGTCCCAATTTATGTGATATTCTATCTTTTTTAGTTAGTCCCCAAAAAGGGACATCTTTCATATTAGTAACAATTTAAGTTCAAACTTCTTGTTTTACTTAAGTTTCTATAGTTTACTTATACCACAAGTTTCAAAATTCTTTCTTTTTGCCGTAAAACTCCGTGACCAGTCAATCACCTTCACATAATTGGGATGGAGGGTGTTGGAATTAATGCATCTATGTTTAGTCTTTCGAAATTGTCAAGTCGTTTTAGAATTTCGTAATACATGTATCTAGTAAATTATGATACATGTATTTAGCTATTTGTGCAAGACCTTTGATTTACATTATTACTAGTATAAATAGAGATGTAGTTGATGACAGTAATCATCTCAAGTAGTTTTAAATAACCTATAATAAACTTGAGCATTCTCTAAAGATACTATTTTCCTTCCATATTTCCTACAAATTAAAATCAGAGCAGGTTTCGTTCTTAATCAGCGGTTAGGTGAAGAAAAAATATGGCAGCCAAAACAAATGAAGGTGTTGATTCTCCAATTGTTCTTACTCCATTTTTTGATGGAACTGATTTTAAATACTGGAAGATAAGAATGAGAACACATTTGGAAGTTGAGAAGGTTTGTGGACTATTGTTGCAAATGGCTTTGAAGAGCCAGACAACAATGGTGATTTTACAGCAGCAGAAATGAAAAATCTAAATTGGAGTCTCAAGAGCATATTTTGCAAAAATTGTTTTTGGATTCTCTGGAAACTGAGGTGTATGGTGACGAAAAGGTACGCACTATAAATCTTCAAACTCTTAGAAAAGAATTTCAAAATTTGAAGATGATAGAATCTGAAAAAATAGATGAATATTGCACAAGAGTCATGAATATTGTTAATGAAATGAGAAATCATGGTGATACAATTTCTAACCAAGAAGTTGTGGAAAAGATTCTAATTAGTGTCACAGAAAAGTATGAGTACATTGTTGCAATCAAAGAGGAGATGAAAGATCTTTCTAAGTTTTCCATCAAAGAGCTAGTTGGATCATTTCGTGCACACGAGAAACGAAGATCTTTTCGTGAAGATCAACCTAATGAGGCGGCTTTTCAGTCTAAAACAAATGAGAATTCTCAAAATTTCTCAAAAAATCAACAGAAGAAGAATTACAAGCAAAAAAAAGCAGGATCATGATGGTTCTTCCAATAAAGTTGAAGAAAAAGATGAGAAAATCTCTAGTCTTCTTGTAAAGTTTGCAAAAAGACTAATCACAATGCAGAAAAATGTCGGCACAAAGGCATGCTCCAATGTAACTTTTGTAAAAAGTTTGGCCACACTGAAAAGGATTGTTGGCACAAGAAACGGGAGCAAGCAATTTTTTGTGAAAAACAGGAGGAATAAAGGGAAGAAAACCTTTTCTTTGCTTCTAAATCTGATGCTTCAACAAAAGCAATGAATGGTATGTTGATAGTGGTTGTAATAATCGCATGACTGGAGATGAAAAGACTTTCCTCTCAATTAATAATAGCATCAGTACTAAAGTGAGAATGGAGAATGAAGCCTTAGTTGATGCAAAAGGTAAAGGTACCATTTCGATCAACATGAAAGGAAGCGTTAAGCAAATTCATAATGTTCTTTATGTTCCTGACTTGGAAGAAAATTTGCTTACTGTTGGTCAACTCATGGAAAATGGTTATTTTCTTGTGTTTAGAGATAATTATTGCAGGATTTATGATAAAATTGAGCCAAATAAAGTCATTGTTGAAGTAAAGATGATAAAAAAAAATTTCCCGTTGCAATTTCATTACAATGCATTAGAAAATGAAATTATAGATGATTGATGGTTTTGGCACAAAAGATTTTGTCACTTGAATTTTCATGGTTTGAAGCTTCTCAAGCAGAAAGACATGGTGCAAGGCCTTCCTGAGATATATACTAAGGTGGATCCATGTGAAAGTTGTATAATGGAAAACAACATAGGAAGTCTTTTCCAAAAGGGGTGTCTTGGAGAGCAAGTGTACTTCTGGAACTAATTCATACCGACATTTGCGGACCAATGAAGACTCCATCTCTTGGAAGTCAAATGTATTTTCTAATCTTTATTGATAATTTCTCAAGAATGACTTGAGTTTATTTCTTGAAAGAAAAATCAGAAACATTTGCTACATTCAAGAAATTTAAAGCCCTTGTTGAGAAGCAAAAAAGTTGCAGCATCAAAATCATTCGCAACGATAGAAGAGGTGAATAATCAAGTCGAGAATTTGAAGAATATTGCAAAAATGAAGGCATTCAGAAGAAACTTACAACAGGGTATATTCCTCAACAAAATGGGGAATCTGAAAGAAGAAATATAACAATTGTTGAAATGGCCAGAACTATGATGAATGAGAAAGGGCTGCCAAATGCATACATTAGTGTACATCCTTAACAGGTGCCCAACAAAGGCACTAAAGGACAAGACACCAGTTGAAGTTTGGAGTGGAGTGAAACCTTCTGTAAGTCATTTTAAAATTTTTGGGTGTATTTATTATGCTCACATACCTGCTGAGAAAAGAATAGAATTGGATGAAAAAAGTCAAATATATATATTTATTGGTTATAGTGATGTGACAAAAAGATATAGGTTTCTCGATATCAAAACTAACAAACTTGCTGTTAGTAGAGATGTCATTTTTGATGAAGAAACAACACGGGATTGGAAGGATAAAAAGATAGAGAATACAATTATCATATCTTCAAATCAAGAGAAAGATGAGAAAGTAGAAGATGTCTCTCAACGGGAAGACATTCCAGATTTAGATGATGAAGAACCGCCTCCAAAAGGAACAAAAGTGTTCAGTGACATTTATCAGAGATGTAACTTTGCCAGTGTTGAGCCATAAAATTAGGAAGAAGCTATAAAGCATGATGTTTGGAAGAAAGCCATGGAAGAAGAAATTTGAATGATTGAAAAAAATAATACTTGGAACTTATGGAAAGAGAAGTTGTAAGTCTAAAATGGATTTACAAAATCAAACTCAATCAGGAAGGAGATATTCAAAAGCATAAAGCAAGGTTGGTTGCTAGAGGCTTCACATAAAAAGCAGATATTGATTTTTATGAAAATTTCTCTCCAGTTGCTTGTCTTGAGACAATTAGAACTGTAATTATTGTTGCTGCACAAAAGAAATGTTAGATATTTCAACTTGATGTTAAATCTGCATTTCTTAATGGAAAACTTGATGAAGAGATTTATGTTGAGCAACCTCAAGGATTTTTTGTTCAAGGGAGTGAAGAGGAGGTGTATAGGCTAATAAAAGCTCTTTACAGGCTGAAGCAAGCTCCCAGAGCATGGTACAATGAAATTGATACATACTTTCTGAAAAATAATTTTTAGAGAAGCAAAAGTGAAGCCACTTTATATGTAAAGAAAGAACATGACAACATTATCATTATTTATCTCTATGTAGATGATCTGCTTTTTACAAGAAATGATGTGATGATGATGCAAGAATTCAAGCAAGATATGATGTAAGGCTATGAAATGAGTGATCTTGGGTTGCTAAATTATTTCTTGGGCATTGAAGTTTCTCAAGTGAAAGAAGGAATTTTCATTTATCAAAAGAAGTATACCACAAGTATTCTTCAAAAATTTAAAATGATGGATTGCAGGTCTGTGACCATACCATTAGCAACAAATGAGAAGTTCAGAAAAGAAAGATAATGGAAAAAAGAAAACTAATAGCTCACTTTATAGGGGCTTGATTAGAAGTTTGTTATATCTTACTTCAACGAGGCCAGATATTATGTTTGTTGCTAATTTATTATCCTGGTTCATGCAAGAAGCAAACCAAGTGCATTTTGGAGCTGCAAAGCGTGTTCTACGCTACTTGCAAGAAACAATGAATTATGGAATAATGTACAAATTTGCTGGAGATTTGAATTTATTTGGTTATTCTGATAGTGATTGGGCTGGAAGTATAGATGACATGAAGAGTACTTCTTGTTATACTTTTTTATTTGGATCAAGTATTTGTTCTTAGTTATCAAAAAAGCCAAGTGTTGTTGCTCAATCCTCAGATTTTTCTTTACAGCAACTAAGGCTACTTTCAAGCTATTTGGCTTAGGAGAATATTTGAAGACATTGGTGAAAAACAAAAACGAGGGATTATTCTGTATTGTATTATCAGCAATTGTAATTGTCAAAAATCCAGTCAGCCATGAAAGATCAAAGCATATTTCCGTCAAGTATAATTTTATTCGAGAAGCACAAGAGAAAGACAAAATTCAGTTGCATTATTGTCAGACAAGAGAACAACTTGCTGACATCTTCACCAAAGCACTTCCTAGAGAAAAAATTTGCTATATTCGAGAACGCATTGAAGTTATCAAGCAAATGCATTAAAGGGGAGTATTGGAATTAATGCATCTATGTTTAGTCTTCCGAAATTGTTTTTAGTTTTTCAAGAAATCTTTTTATAATTTCGTAATACATGTATCCGGTAAATTGCGATACATGTATTTAGTTATTTGTGCAAGACCTTTGATTTACATTAATACTAGTATAAATAAAGATGTAGTTGATGATAGTAATTATCTCAAGTGGCCTTAAGTAGCCTATAATAAACTTGAGTATTCTCTAAAAAAATCTATTTTCCTTCCATATTTCCTATAGAGGGACTAAATGATAGAATCTTTTCGTAAGGATGTGGAAGCAGTTGACTAGTATACTATCAAACTGAAAACCAAATTCTAGAAGAGGCAAAACCCAGAAAATAGAAATAAAAAGATCAAAATAGTATGAGCTGAACTCGGTGCCTTAACCAAGGGATCAGGTGGAGATGTTTTAATAGATGACCATAGAAATACAGTTATGACGAAAAGAAAAAGAGAAGGAGAACCATAAATTACCTGATCACGGAAGCAAGTTACTCCAACTTCGTTAAGTCCTGGCACAGATCTCCGGGGAATAAAATAGCGTTCAAGATAATGGAAGAATCTCGACAACCATCTGATCATGACCTTATTATTTAACCACCTTTTTACCAGCTCTCGCAACATGAACTCGTCATGTTTTTCTCTCAAAGAAGGCAATACCTATTTCGAAATTGAATTGCAATGTGAAATTTCGAGAAGGTAGAATTATTTGGAGAAACAAAAATTAGGTAAACAAACCTTAAGCTAAATTTGAGTTTTAGTCATTTTAAACTACTAAGCAAAATTGCATGTCTTAAATAACATAACAAAAAATCCATGTAATTTAGCTGTGTTTTGAAACTTCTATCCACTTTCCCCGTATCCCTGTCTTAATATTCTATGGGATGAAGCAGCAGCAAGAGCAGCCTTTCTAAATTTGAATCATATAATAATGGGAATAAAACTAAAAGATATATTGTCTACTAGGAAAGCAATGCCTGAATTACATTCAGACCCAAATAAAGTTGATACTTGTGCATGGACCCTTATTAAATAAAATCATTGAGGGCACAAAATAGAATCACAGAGGAGAATCTAAAATATGCTCTCATAGCCAAATTCTCACATGGAAGGCCTCTTTGTTACATGGCTAAAATTGAAAAATAAAAGAGCAACAAAGAGCTCAGCAGACTAGTGATTTTCCTTTTCTTTATTAAAGAATCATTTTTATAAGTTCCAACATTGCAGAATGATACAAAGAGAGCAGACAATCAAGAACAGAACATGGATATAACAAACATCAAAGAAAAATTAAGAATAATACTTCATTCATTCTTGCTTTTCTTGTTTTATTGTAGTACCTTGTTTAATTTCTACTGAAGTGAAATGTGAATGAAAACTGCAGCTACCCTTACCGTTGTTATGTTATATTCTTCAAAAGCTTCACGATATTTGTCATACAGCTGTTGAGACAAATTATTTAGGGGATTCTTAGAAGACATGTTGTAAATGGTCCTGTTAGTAGACTTAAGGAAACAAAAGGTGAATCAAATCCAAGTTATCTACATGCCTAACAGTGTGGGGAGTCTAAAAGGATACGTATACAGCGTTATATAGTCCTCTGAGTTGAACTGAGGCTCAGGCAGCCCTTCTAGTATGTTCTTCAGCTTTGTAATGCCCCTTTCAATGATGCCCCATCCATGTTCCAGATCGATTGTGCTAAGTTGGTTCATTGTGATTTCAATATCTTCACAATTTAACAGAATGCAACCCTACAATAATTCCAAAAACCTGTTGCCCTGTTCCAAACTAAATAACATCACCAACTAAACTCAACAAAAGCTAGTAAGAAAATCAAGAAATTTTTTAGTCGGTCAGAAAATCAAATCACATTAATATTTGACTTTACTGTTGATAATAAACAAACAAATGACAGAACGAATGCTCTTATTATATATATTAAAATCTGATGTTGGACAGGCTACAAACATGGTTTTATCCTTGAAATATGGACCAGAATACTTGGGTTTAAGGCTTCAAAGTGGGGACCGTTAAGAGTGATACATACTAAAAATAGCACAAGTACCTCGAGCTATATCTGGGTCTCATTATAAAAAGGGTTGTAGAATATGACAAAAAATCAAGAACAGGATACAGGATTACATATTGGAGGCTTAAATTCAAGTAATACAAAGAGGTGAGAAGATAAAGGAGCACAAGAATAGAATCCAATAATAAAGGAATGAATCAATGTTCACTAGCTAGAAATATCCCGGATTACCATAGTTATAGATGCCTAATTGGAAAAGGTAGTGGGTTTTTTATTGGTTCGATATGATCTTGGTCTTCTAAATATTCTTTACCACTCTGAATTAGATATTTAGTTGGGTGTATAGGACTTCCAGTATAATGTATTATGAAGAACAAATGAACCATTTAAGTAACTAAACAAGTCCAAACTCCATAACAAGTGCTGAGATAATCTTAAAGTAAAAGTACATGTCACAAAAAAAGCCTAAGAGAGAGTTCCACAAGAGTACAATAATGTGCAGCAGAGACTGCCTACATCGAGCTGAAATAAAAACCTTAATTAATTACCTCATCCGCTATAGATATTAACTTGCCAACAAATTATCTAAGCTCATGATTCACATCAAAATAACTCACAGGTATAACACATGATTTATGTGAGCTTACTTTGTATTCATGCTTATTGCTTGGTGAAAAGGAATTCTACTCTAAGTTCTATATAGGGATTGATTCAGGAATTGTTTTGCAAGGTCTTAAGATCCTTTGCCCTGGAAAGGTGCACTTTTCAGACATCATTTTTGTGGCAGGAGACATGTCAGCTGGTATAACTTTCAACTTAATTGATTGATTCCTAACGATTCTGACTTGGTTCCTGAAGACCCTAACTTGATAGGAATTCCACAAGAAAAACTTTCACCATGTTATTCCTAACTAAGACCTAGATAAACTTGAGTTACCAAAATCGCACACTTGGTTCTAAAATAAATGAACTTTTAAAATCTTTTCAGGGTTCCATCAAAAAAGAAAACCGTATACAATATTTTCCAAAAAACGTATATAAAAACAATAAAATTGGGGAACCCTAAACCCAAAATTTCTTTTGTTTTTTCTCTCTCTCAAAATCGAAATATGGCGTGAATAGCAACCATGACTGCCTCGCCCTCTCCCCAGCCTATGGTTCTGGGAGAGAAAAACGCCAACCCTAATACAGGTCGTACATATGCTTCGTCAATCAGCGAGAATCAACTATATAGTGAGAATCTCTCAAACCAGTCAGTCTTTTACATGGAGAACCCATTGTGATTTTTGACTCCAAACACCTTGAAGCGTTTATCACGGAGGAGAATCTAAAATATGCTCTCATAGACAAATTCTCATATCGAAGGCCTGAAGTTCCAGATTCACGAAAAATATTGCCTCCACAATTAGGATTTAAGGGTGAATGTAACATTGGGTTATTAGAAAGTCGACATGTGCTGTTGCGGTTCACTTTGAAGGAAGATTATGTTGCAATCTTTTCAAAAACTAGTAGGTCGATTAAATTTGTCGGTACTGTTATACTGTTCAGAATCGGGTATGATTATTTACCATATTATTGTAAGAGATGTAAACATAAGGGACATAGAGAAGTTGATTGTCGAACTCTCACTGATGGTCAAGTTGATGCCGCGGTCAGTGAAAATCATATTGAAGGAGAAAAATTTCAAGGTGATTTTCGTGTTCATCTCAATGCTAAAAAATCTGATTCAAATAGGCTGGAAGTTTGTGAAAAGGATGATGAAGGAACACTTAAAGATTTGAGATAGGGGAGGAAAAGAGTGGTGTTCAAGATCAAAATTTGGTGCGCCAAATTCTGGCCAGCGTTTAGGCAAAGCAGTGTCAGACTGTCAGAAAACTTCTCTTTGGGAATCAAATGTTATCCTTAGTTCCTCTTTCTCAAACTGATGAGTTTTCACGGCAAAAAAATACTTCTCCCAACAAACAAAACTGTAATTTAGCTGATCTTGTTGAGGTTGAAGAGGAACTCGTTGTGGATACAAATCAATCCAGCGATGCACAATTTGCGCAAAAAATTAAGAGATAAAAGAAAATGAAGTTGTTGCTGAAAATTCAAGTATGAGGCAAGGTAATAAGCATACACCTGAGAAACTTCATGATGCTATACAGACGCCAAAATCTGATGTGCAACTTGAGAATTTGGCAATTAATGGACAGAATAAATTTGAAGGATCAAAATGTTGAGATTTTTAACATTTGGAACCTATCGATTTGCAAGTTGAAATTTCTGGTCGTGATGAGAATGCAACTGGGAATTGGAACACAATTGCTCAAAAAATCAATTTCTATGTGTATTGGTTCCTCGGCAAGTCGAAGTAAATCTCCACGTCTTGAAAATAAGCAGCAGCTAACTACTAATCTAGTGGTGCAATCTAATGAACCGAAGGACATTGTTTGTATAAATCCGTTTGAAGCACTTGAGGTGGAGAAATAATTAGAGTTAGTTGATTCAAATCCCACGAAGGAGCCGATTTTGATGATAATATATAGCACGCCAATTGGAGCATGTAGCATGCAAACCAAAATAAAATTGGAAGTGTTATGAATCCTACATTATATATCTTTAATTCTGAAGTAGCTAAAATTATTCAAGAAAGTGAGGCTGCCATGTTGCTCAAACCAAATTCACCGATCAAGTCACCCATCGTCACATCGAACACCTCATCTCATGAGGTCTCCAAAGAAAAATAAAGGGAGATGAGTACTCCTAGGCGGCTGATTAGGTTGATGAAGAAGAGCATGTTTCACCTCCTATTTTGAATAAAAAATCAAGTCCACAAGCTTTGGAATTTGTATATAAAAGTATAATTGCAAAGAAGAATGAACAAGAGGCCTGAGCAGCAGAATTTAGTACAACTAGGGGTTATGATAGTGATTTGGGTGATGATCCTTTTGATGAGGATGCGGAAGAAAATATGTTGGGCATACACTTTGATAAAATGTCTAGGGATGGGAAAATATGGCTCCTACTAAAGTCAAGTGCTTTGCTTGGTTAGTAATCAGGAAAGCTTGCTCCAGTCATGAGATCCTGCAGAAAAAGGGTTTGCCAATTGTGTCCAGATGCATGTTATGTAGTGATGCTAGAGAGACAAATAATCATTTGTTCCTCCATTGTAAAGTCACATCTCAGCTTTGGACTATGTTCCTCAGTTTAACAGAGATAAAATGGTCAATGCCAGAGCACACAGCAGACTTGTTAAGTTGTTGGATTAGGAGAGGGGGAAGCAAGACACAGAAGAAGTGGTGGAGAGTAATCCCACACTTTATCTGGTGGACTATCTAGAGGGAGAGGAATGGAAAAAACTTTGAAGATTAGATTCAACAACATTCAGCAACCAATGGGAGCTGCATTGCAACTTTCTACTTCTGGTGTAAAGAACATTGTATAGAAAATGCTGAACAATTAGTAGATCTTTTAGAATTACTGTAATTAGTTTCTTGTTTTTGTTTTAGCTTTTTACTACCTTTTGGAGGTCTCCAGCATACCTTAATGTTGAGGAATACAACATTACTAGTTTCAAAAAAAAAAAAGTAGAAGCAACAAAATCATAAAGAAGACACATGGAGGGCATCACAGTTGGGATGGTAAAGTGACAGGATTGTTTGTCCCAAGACACCTACCGATATGGGCAAAGCAGAACCATATGACAGTGTCAATAGCTTCAACAAGATCAAATACATCCAAGAAGAAATGATGAAATATCAAGTTTTGTTGGACAAATTTGAAGAAGAAGACAAGATGAAAATACTTCAGGTTACTTTACATGGAGATGGACTATTTATCATTTTTAATCACGCATTTGTAAAAATAAGTTTGAGGTTGATAACTCAACTTTCTTCTTGGATTTTATATTTGTGCAGTTTTCAAGTATTATCATTTGTAATATCATCATAGAGTGTATTACAAATTTTGTGATGATCATAGAATACCTAGCTCTCTGTAGCTCTTATTTTTTTCATGCTTGTAAATAAGTAGAGGTTTGTTGTCTCATTAGGATTGACAAGGTAAGGCCTGAACCCCCGTTGCTTGTACTTATTTCTATTGAGGATTTTTATTTTTTATTTTAAAATTTATAACCGTATATAAATTTAGCAAGTAAATTAAACTGAGAATGCCAAAAGAAAATACACATCAGAGACACTAAAAAGCTAAGTTGCTCAGATCCTTCAAAAATGCACTATTTTTGGAGGATCCGAGGTACAACCATCGACAATTTTGAAGAATCCGAGCAACATAGCTGAAAAATCTAAAGTTTCAGGCAGTTAATGACATAAAACAAAGTTCTGGAATCAGTAGTTCATATTGAATTTCTAGTTCACATGAATGTCGTCAGTTGCAACAAAGAATGAATCAAAAATTTAACTCAAACCCTACCAGTAATGAACACTAAGCCTCCACTATGCCTAACTTCAAAAGAACAAAACACTCATGCTCAGAATCAATTATAGAGAATAAAAAAACAACATAAACTAGTCCATCAATCACAGATCGGAAGATTGCAAAATCAACCACAACAAAACAGCGTAGTTTCAATACCAGGATCAATCCAAAGCAAAGGAAGAAGCAATTAAACCAAAACCAGCACATCAACTATGCATCATATGTATATATATACGTGGAACAATGTACATCGAATCGGATGTCACAATTTAACAAGAAAATATACCTGTGATGTCACGGAGAGCAAAGGAATTTGCCGAAAGAGTGATCGGAGAGTCTAGACCCGATGAGGGAACAACACGGAGCTACCACGAACTATTGATGAGAAGAAGAGAATTGGGACAGATGTGAATCTCTCTTTCCCCTTTTATGTGTTTTTCTTTTCCTCGAAAAACCCCATATACTTCTAACTATTTCTATTTTTGCCGTAGTAATTTCTTGGTTTTTCATTAAAGGTTATTGCAAATTAATCCCTATTATTTTTGGATTTTATGCATTTTTACCTCAAGTGTTTTGAGTACTCTTTTCTTCTTCTTTTTTTAGAATGTAGTTTATATTTTCCAAAATTTCTGTATTTGATCTTGAAAAATATTTTCTCTGAGAAAATGACTTTCCAAATGAATATTGGGAAAATGAGTTGCATAAGTGACATTTCAAGTTTATTATCTCTTGTTAGCCACCCAATCCCCCACCACCACAACTTGAAGCATCTATAGCATATTGCATATCCTTGTCAACTTCTTCAATTACCTTTTTCTTCTCATCAATAGGAGGGAGTGGTATCTTCAAACCATTACAGCAATATCCTCACGGGGGTCAGTAATGTAGTGCAACAATTCAAAGTAGAATGGCTAACCTTACTCATCATTAATTTAACCTTGATCCTCCTCATTTTGTCAATGAACGTTGAGTTGAACTCCAATACATCCGTCAAAGAAATTATTTTGGTGTGTTGCTCCTTGTTGAAAATCTTGTATTTCACATGTGAAATGGTGAAAGGGAATGAAGAAGCTGAACAACATCATTATTGATAGATTTAATTGCGTCATGATTTCCTGATAACTCAATCTATTTGATGCATTAAAGAGCAACAGAGCTAAAGCCAACGAAAAGGAAGAAGTCTCAATCTCGTTTTCTCATTGATAACGTAATAACAATGTTTCAAATTAACAAAGCCAATCCAATTTAAAAAGGTAACCCAACAATCAACCTGATAAGTATTGAAAACAAGCTCAATAATCTTTTGGCTCAAATTTTCCATATATGTTGCAAGTACCCAAAGAGTATATCCATGTAAGTCTCCTGTGCTTCCTTTTGTTTGATAAAACTCCTTGAATACTTCAACGCACCTAACCTGACAATGTGCAACACAAAATGAATCAATGACAGGACATTTGAGAAGAAAAATGAATTAAAATATTGATATAATGTACCATTTCTGCTGGGAGGTTGAGATCAGAAGACTTGTATTCAGTATAATTGATCTGGATAGCTTACATTCCCTCCATCTTTGATGTGAACTGCCCCCACACTGCTGCTTCAACTTTGTTAGGTTAATCCTCTCACGTTCATCATTGGCACTCTTATTAAATTACAACTGGACGGCTAGCCTTTTCCTGGAAAAAAAAAAAGGCAGTCATAAATTTGTAAGGGAGAAGAAGCTATTCAAATAGTGGTTAAGATGCAGAGTAGAGGTAAATCTACCTATAAAATTCTGCAAACAAGTCCTTATCACTAATATAAGCTAACAGCTTTACCACCTGCAAGTGAAATCTATTATCAGCTCTCTCTTGCTCGAGTAGTACGAAGAAAGGCAGTGTCTCTAGAGGAAAAAGAAGGGAAAGGTATCTACAGAGCAAGACCTCACCTTCTCCAATGTCTCTTCAATGGCTTCATCACTCAATTTCTCACACCCGCCTATTTTGAGAATGTGGTCACAGAATGTGGCGAGAAGTCCATTGAGCTAACCAGCAACGCCTGTAGAAAAGTTTGAAAGCTACTTTAAGTGCCTAGAAAGTGACAAACGGGACACATATTAGCCATTTACCCTAAGATGAGCCAATGGTCATGCGATTTCAATCGATTAATCTCCTTATTTCATACCATGAGATAAAATTTAAAGTCTCCAAAAATTATGATTTGTGTTATAAATATAATGAATGTTTAAAATTTAGGAACCCTCTTCTTATTATTTTACTTAGGTTTTAAACTTTTGTTAATACCCAAAGATAATAAGGAAAAACATAAATTTAGTTTTATAATGTTGACATTAAGAAGAAAAATTTAAAAATCAAATGTATTAAGAAATGACTATTTGGGAAGAGATAATCAAAAAAGTTTAATCCAACATAAAAGCAAAAGAATTATTATTAAAGAGACGGGAATATATTTCTAGCCAAAAATTAATGAAAATGTAAGTTTATTTTGTTAAACATTGTTAGTGAAAAACTTACAAAATAATAAAATCGCAAGATTACAATCGAAAAATAAAATGAAGAAATAAATCTCTTCAGGCTGAGGCGTGGATATCTCGCTCTCTTTATGGAGATTCAAGTCCACTGCAACAAATGATTTTCACTAGTCCAGCAGTAATCCTCTTTGACTTGTCCCCTCCCGGATACAACAATCTTTACAAAGTATAACTCAACAACTCTGAACAAGAGTTGAGTCCAAAACTCTACAAAAAAGAACACCTCCTTTCAACTGATAAGAACTCTCTTTTGACTAACTCTTTCACTTCATATCTTTTCTTGTGTGTTGTGTGTTATGTCTAAAATCAAATGAATACCACTACTATTTATATTAGAAGAAGTCTTCCAAGCAATGAAAAAGAAGATAAATAGTGTAGTAAATGTTAAAGATAATGGCCTTAAGAATTATATATGTTACAAGGTATAATGAAGAAAGAATAATGGAGGAGTAAAGAATGAGATAATGGAGAAAATATGAGTGACCATAAAATAGACATTAATGCCATCAACGGCATTTTGCAACTTTGCAAAACTGAAAAGCCATTTTGCACTAACTCCTAATGGAGTTATGCTCCATATATACATGTTCAACGGTTACATCAAATCCATCACATTGACTCCAAACACTTCAAGCAAATTAATAAAAAAAAAACTCTAAATATTAAAATGTTGATCAACAACCCCACACATTTTAATTTTAGACAAGATAGTATATCAATTGAAGGAAGATTATCATGCATAATGAATGTATTCTCTACATTGAACCTCCACTTAGTGAAACATTAACTTTTAGTCCAGAGTCGTAGTGGTCTCAGACTCGAACTATGACTGCTTAAGGCAAATAAAATATCATTGATCACACATAATAATCAAGGTGTTGACATGAGCTTTAAAGCCAGCACGTTATGGTCATGTTCTATCCCGATTTCATGAGTGTTTTTGAGAATTAGCCGGATTATTATAAGAAGTGACCTACTTCCACACATCACATAGGTGAAATCTGTCGAGAGTATTCCTGTAAGCTTAACACTCCATCCATATGGGCTACATATATTCATTAAGAGTTTTATCAACTCAACCTTCACAATCTACAGGAAACAATACACTCACATCATAAGGAGAAAATAAAAAATAAGTGCATTTTTCACAACAAGTCATCATATGATAAGTTTTTCCATTTGAACCTGTTTATAGGATCTCTAGTTCCCAGATTGGGTTTCCTCATATATGACTCAAGGATTTGTAGGCTTCAATTTCATCCCCTCGATGTGCTTCACACCTTTTCTCTCGTTAAGACCTTAGTAAGAGGAACTGTAGATTATCACAAGATTTGACATAAGCAACATTAATGTTACCATTTGTCAAATACAATCTTACGTTATTGTGTTTCCTCTTTATAGATTTGGATTTACCGTTGTAATAACAGTTTTGAACTCTACCAATTCCAGCGGTGCTATCACAATGAATTAAAATAGGAGGAATTTGTTTTTCAAAATAAGGAATTTGAAACAATAAATCTCTTAGTCATTCTCTTCCTCACTAGCTGAAGCTAAAACAATTGGTTCAACCTCCATGGTAGAGTTAGCAATTATAGTTTGTTTTTTTGATCTCTAACAAATAGCGTTATCACCTAAAGTAAAAGACATAACCAGTGGTAGAACACCAATCACCCGATAAAGTGTTCCAATCTGCATCACAAAAGCCTTCAAGTACAGCAGGATGCTTTTTATAGAACAAACTATAATTTTTTGTTCCAATTAAATATCTTATAACTCTTGTTATAACATTCCAATGTTCATTACCTATGTTGCTTGTAAACCCGTCAAGTATTCCTACTGCGTATGCAATATCAGGCCTAGTGCAATCAGTCACATATCTCAAACTTCCGATTATACTAGCATATTCCTTTTGATTTATTACATCATTTTCACTTTCAACAGGAAATAAGTGAATATTTGAATCAAAAGGAGTAACAACATGCTTGTAATTAATAACAGATAGTATTAAATAAATAGTATAAAATAATATTAGTATTTACTGTGTACTAATCCTAGTCCTATTAGGATTAGTACTCTTTAATCCTAGTCCTATTATGATTAGTACTCCTTCCTATATCTCCTCTATATATCTCCCATGTATTCCCTTAACACTTCAATACAATCAATATTCCTTCATAGTATCAGAGCCAGAAAACCTAGATCTTCTTTTCTCTAGGTTTTTTTCACTCTTTAGGGCACCGATCGTTCCTTCTCTTCTCTTGGGCAGCGGCAACCATGACAACCGAGGTGGATCCTCTCGATTCACTTCCTTCTGGCGTTAAACTCCTTCTCAGGCATCTTCATGCCCTGATTCCTAAAAAATTATCAAACATAAATTACCCTACATGGAAAATCACCGTTCTTACAGCCCTTGAGGCTAATTACCTTCTCAAATACGTCGATGGAAGCACAGAACCGCCGCTGGCAGTCATCACCGCCACGGACAAATCAGAAAAAACCAATCCGACCCATGCCACCTAGAAAGCCATGGATGGCCAGATCCGATCATGTTTGATTGCGGTCATCTCTCCCACGGTTCAGAAACACGTCCGATCCTACATAACTGCTTCAGCCCTATGGACGGCCCTCGCAACACGCTATGCATCAATTTCCCACTCTCATATTTTTCAATTGCGTGATCGTCTCCACACAATTACCAAAGGCACGAAAACTATGGCGGAGTATTTAGACGAGGTATCC